TGACACAGAATATGCACTTTCTAGCAAGTACGGATCTATTTCTTAAGTAAATTTGAAATTGTAGTTTAAATATTCTGCACTTCTTCCTAAGGCAACTCCATCTTGCCATATTTGTCGGACTTGTTATTTACCTGGAAAATAATTACGCATCTATATCGAGCTTATTCAATTGCAGGATATTGATAATTGTGTTACTCTGAAACAAATTCATTTTCTGTTGTTGTTTTAGTCCGTCATCCATGCTGAGCAATATCTTTGTAGACATTTCATCACCTAATCCGGATTAGTTGTCATTGCGTAATAGGCATACTAAATAATTCGTCGACCCTTGACCTAGGGACAAGTGAACTTGGAAGTTCGCCAATTCGATTGTTGTAAAGTGACAATTGCTATTTCATACTTCGTTTACCGCCTTGTTCAATCTCATATGGTGAATACTCCACATCCATTCGTCTTATCTACTTGATGTTAAAAAGAATACAATTTTGTGTGCAAGTCTGTTGAATTATCCCAAGTGATTTATGCTAAGATGTCTGCATTTCTTTGGCGGTTTATGACACGGAAAAGTGAAATCTCAAGGTAGCTGTCTCGCCGATACCACCAGCTGCTTCTTATGGCAAGTTGTTGATAATGTCTAGGTGCCTTAACCCCAATTGTTCTTTGAGCCAATAAGGTTTTACCGAATGTTCCATTTCTCTCAGATTTTTATTCTTCTTTCCGTAGGCTATCTTGATTGCACGACAGCGAAGCATCGGTTCAAAGGCTGATATACAGCGGTTGATATTTATGCACTTTTACCGCTTTCCTTGTTCACTCTTTAAGGAATAACCGTAAAGTTTACAGCAATACGTTACTGCAACCTCTCAACTCCATAACATTAAGGCTTTCGTAGATTTTATTAAATATATTAATGATATATATGTTCTGTAGAAACAGGTATAAGAAGTTCATGAAATAAAAATAATAGCATATCTTTCCTGTGGTCCCAAAGGCCTTTAAAAATTTAAATTCACAATGTCCAGATAAGTTAGAAATGATAGAATATATCACGATCTACTCTCAAACCGCCTTATATTGCGAGACGCGTGTGTTGCATCAACATACCTTTAGGTTGTTCTTGGCGTTTCTACAACTATATTACGCTTGTCCATCGCAAATGACACTTGTCACAGTTGGCTCCAGAATTCAAGTTCAAATTGCCCTCTTGAAATTAGGTGTACGGCTTTCTGGATATTTTTAGGTTCTAATGAATAGGTAGCCATAATGACAAAAACAAAAAGAGAAACCGAACTACGCCTTAAATTCTGGAGCACATAGATAAGAAAATTATGTGGCCCAATTCGAGTTCCCTAAATAATCAGTAATTACTTTCGAACTAGAGAAATGGTCAGTAGTGCACACCACCAGCTGTCTACCAGTTAGATATAAGGGGAACCAAGAAAACAATGACTTTAATACACATTGCCTTTAACTTTATTGTACTGTGCGATAAGACAAAAACCAATTATACTAGCAATTATGTATGTTGTCTTTAGCAAACGTATAGAGCGAAATAAATAGTCCCAAATAAACTAAGCACAGGATAATATAAATTTTCTTTTTACAAAACCAGACAAATGATTAAATGTTAAGTAATGCACATCGCAGATTCGTAGCCTTAAGCAGCCTTTCACACGTTAAAGATAACTTCCAGAAAATTTAGCAAGTACATCAATATATCTATAAAGTATGTAGTGCAAATGATGAGTTTCAGAGTACTGTAACCTGTGCAGGTTGCGAAAGTTGTTGTTGCATTTTATTTATTTGAACAAACATGATAGTATATAAGAATTGCAAGGACTATGTAACCTATGGAGATTGATATCAGGTCCAATCAAATTATGTTTAAATGTAGGCTTGTTACGCATTCAAACGTGTGTCAAAAATGGTGCATTTTCTCGGTTGAAGTTTGGCCCACTCTATAAATACTCCGCAAGCAGTTGCAATTTAATAGCAGATATTTTTATCCACCGTGATTTCTGGACTTCACTTGGCACTGAGTGCCCAAACGTTGCTACTGCAGGCAATGTTGTCAGATAATTTACCCAGCTCTAACCTCGAGGGCACTGCCAATTTATCCTACAAGTATCGATTTTGAAGGTCGCGGACTGCATGCCAGCTGTTTCTTCAGGGTACCATTAAAACAAGTCCAACTTTAACATCAACCCAATTTAAAAAAATGATAGAAAAATCACTAATACTAGGAACGTAGTACATGGAATTTAGGATGAAGAGAATCAATGATTGTTAAAATCCACTGAAATTTCAGTGGTTAAGAGCATGTTGTTTATATCAGTTTGCAAACCTTGAAGTTCAAAGTCGTGAGTGTGGATTCAGGCTAAAAAATGTTTTGGGATAGGGTGTAAATCTTCCTTCTCTGGAGAATGTTTGAGGCAGCTAAGCTTAGTGAGTCGTGACGGAATGTGACCCTCTAGAATTGATTCGGGTAAATAAGCCTACCGTTGAGCTAAGAGCATGTGGGAGATAACGTGTTAGAGGAGGACCTTCTGCAAATTCGGTTTTGCACTTTGGTTTACTAGACTGTGTTAGGTGCATCATGATGTTTACGGTGTTTTATTTACGCAGATCATTGGCAGTGTTCAGTGGGCTACTCTGTGATCCGTAGTTGGAGGTAACTTGCTTAGGGTCTTCCTGGCCGCAACGGTTACCTCTACAACATGGGGTAGACACACGAGTGACAGTTCGTGCATTAGACTGGCGTAGTTTATGTTATCTAAAGACTACCGGATATTTGCGATACCTAAAAACGTCATGTGCAGGATGATTATGAGAAATGAATGGTTGTTTTGCAAAGCAAATGTATGGTATAGTTTGGCACAATGAAACATTCGCTAAATTCGCTCAAACGAATTCAATTGCTGATTATTCTGCACTTCAAATAATATCACTAAGCAGCTTCGGTTCCAATCGGAATACAATTTAGACGTATCAGGTAGCGTTTTGGGCCCAAGACTTTGAGTAGATTTAAGTGTTATCAGTAAGTGTAGTTAGGCATACCAAAACTTAAACAAAAAATTTCTTCCCATAGCATTCAACCCTTCCTACTACTCCTCTGTAAAGATATATGAAACAGCGACGGAAACCAATGTAAATCTAATGGAGCTGATTATTTATGAGATACCATGAGCTTATTCAATAACACTCGGCATTTTATTCGCTTTTGTGTATATCGGCATTACTATTCAGTCGTAAAAACGCGAGCTGATGTATGTTCTGGCGTTAACTTTGCACCAAACATTAAATTTACTTTCAAATTCGCCTGAATTTGGTGCTCTTCTAGATGCAACAGCGGACGGACTAGACCGGTTCTGCGATCCACTGCGAGCTTCAAAATTCGCCTTAATACTTATCGTATGGTCTTTATCCGCAGAACGCGTTGTACTGATATTGTAATTATTTTAGTCAAGTAAAACAGCGCTATCAACTAGATGCCAGGAAACAGATTGGTGTTTATTGGTTAGGAGTAACTCAGCATGCTACCGCCTAATCATTCGTTGCAGCGGGCTTTTTTCTTCCTCATTTTTAAGAAACCCTATGTCATGTGAGGCAAAAAGTACTCGCGCTTTGAATAAACAAGTTAATCATCTTTTCAGATGTAACCTGGTATATTATATGACATAAGTAATGTATTATGTTTTTGGGTAATCTGAGGAAACTTGGTTAAATTCGGTGTCTACTGCATGCAATGAGGTGCATTCACCGGAACTATTTAGGTGGTACCTTGTCCTTTACATTACAAGTCACGTGATTTCGTGAACAGCGGACTCGATTTTGTAATTGATCGAAATCAAGTCCATCAGTACACTGGATTGAATAAGGGTTTATATTTCCAAAAAATTGAGATATTCAAACAACGAAGCAGATATTCAGAGGCTGCAAAAATTTTGAGTATGTCGATCTTTAATTATGGTTCCCTGAATGTAATCACAGCTGCAGTGAACGATACTTCAGGTAACTTATTCTGGTCAACAGAGAATACGGATCAATCATATTCATTGTCTATTTGCTTCCAGGTAATTTTTTTCTCGAAAGCTTACTGTCACTGTGATTTGCCATCCAGTCTTCATGGCTGCATTTTGGTTTTGCTTGTTTGTAAAAGTTATTTTCCTTTTCAAGCGCGTTTTACACAGTCGGCGTATGGCACTTTCGTGAATATCGAATTATTAACCATTTGGAGCACCACTAACTGCTAGTCACACATACCACCATGTTTACGTACTTCCTTACTGCAAACATTTATCTTAGGTGGCTTTTAACTTAGTTGCATTAGGAGTACATATTCACAGCTCCGAAAACGGCTGTCTTAAATTATTGTATGATGTCTAGCATGAATCAAGCCGAGTAACATTTTGATACCCAACTAGATTGACTACCGACATTCGCCTTCCCCTAGAATTCTATTTCTCTGTTCAAACCCGTCAAACCACAATTTATTGTGCTTTCTCTGGCAGAGAGACTATGATACACTAACTATTCATAAACAGGCTAAAGGTATTTCGTAAATTCTGCTTACCGCTATGGCTTTTAAATGAGCCTAAGTCTTCTTAATATCTATTGCAGCTTAAAGGCAATATAAAATTTGCCTTAAATTCTGACTAGACAAGCCCTTTACATAGACTATTACTTGCGTTTATACGTAACATTTATAAACCCTAAGCATTTTAGGGCGTAACTATTCATATGTTGAAAAAAACGAAAATATGCGACCTACAACATTGGTCTTCCATTCGATCACATGAATATGGCACAGGTATCATGCATTTTGAAGACGCTTGATGCAACCAATATTCATCAGAAAAAGAACTATAGGTCTTAGATGACTTAGCCGTTACTTTTAATTGCCAAGTGATATACTCATGCAGTTTGTTGCATTAAACATATTATACATTTCAAGTAATGAAGACAACAGCGGTGCACTTAAAAATATATTGGTTACTTACATCAAGTTCCAGGAAGTACATGTAAATTCCTTGAGAATTTGGGGCGGTGAGCAAAGTGCTGCAGAACATGTTCGGCTTATAATCGAAAAGTTCTATCCTCCCCGTTGATCCATTTACACGAAACGGAATGCATGGATCGTCAATCCCTTAATTGTGGGTAGAATGAAGAGAAGTGAGAAAAAGTTAAAGACGAAATATACGTTGTCAGTTTAAAACAAATACTTTTCACACGCAGTTTTATCGAAAAAGAATATCGATGCAATTAAATGTTGCTTACCTGTAGCGAACGCTATCCGATAACAAGTGAGATACAATGCAATTACTAGTAAAGGCATTTTCTTTACTCCGCTAGCAATCTTGACTTTTCTACCAAGAATAGCCAACCTATTTTATTTATATCTCTAACGCTCATCCAACAGCATTTTGATGAGACACGTATTCTGTGATAACGTGATAGAATATGTGTCTTTCAGATGATTTTTCACTTGCTTTTGCATGCACATATTTTGAACTTTGTGGGTGTAGGACACACCTGATTAGTACAATGATAGTGGGCCAAGGTTCATTGGTCCAGAGGACATATTTCATTGATTTTTACACATATTTTAGCGTAGCTGAACTACACATATCATTATGGAAGAAATCTAAGGCCATGTCTTAGAGTGCTTGGTAAGTATATTTTCTCATTCTTTGCAGCCGGTTATTTTACTGAGGTTAGCAGATGATCTATACTGTGGACGGTTTAAGATAATGCTATTTATTTTAATGATTATTCACGCAGCAATCCATTTTAGCACGAAATAAGTATAAATCTAAAATAGTACAACCTGTGATGGCCGCGTTTAATTAAAAGTAGATGACCATTACACAGCTTGAGGACTTTTCTGTCATCTCTATAATCATTAACACTGTGCGTTTATTCGGTACCGTGTACGACTGTTTCGGATGATCCCGCTCTATCTAGTCCGAGTTTACCCAGTACCCTGCCGGATCATCGTGGCGAGGACCAACTGCACGTGTACGACACAAAAAAGGTGTTTTCAGTCGCTTTGTCCTACTCGGAAGCAAAAATAATGTCCATATAATGGATGCCCTCAAAGGTTTATTGGGAAATTTTAATCAGATTTCTCAACGTAAGAGGAACGCAGATACAATAAGAAATTAACTCTTGGGTGCGTATAGCAGATCATCGTTTAACGAGAAAATAAACACTGTTTTAATATGACTAATATTGTCCTCGATACAAAAATTAATATACATTACTGGCAAACCAAAATCAGGGATAAATTAGATGTAGGACGCTGCATAGTTTTATGGTATTCAGGTGCACAACTTTGTTTTAGTTTAGTCAAGTAAACTAAAACAGATTACGTACGCAGATTCGTCTATGCTATATTATTTCTTAAATGCGAAAAAGCTTGAGTGAATTGACGGAAACCGGAAGAGCGTTTTACTATTGGTACATTCAGCAGAGAAAGATGTACAGCGGACGTACTTGTAGTGACAGTGCGTGCCACGATATAACCATTGACCTAGTTGCAACGTACATGGTCAGTTATCAGTAAGTAACGAGAAGTGGAACTAGATTTGTGTATGATGCAGCAGGCATAGAAACTGCGATGTCATCGGTGCGGTTAAAAATGTCTGTTTAGCGCGGTCTTATGAACGGATTCTAATAACATCAATTAGTAACCAAGTGACGTTCTGAATAGGATCTATCATTAAACTAGAAATCTGTCTACTCTGTGTGCTCCCAAGAGGTTACAGATTTTCAAGTTTTTTAATAATGATTTATGGCATGCATATATTTTGACGTAAGTGCTTTCCCTTCTTAACAGCAAATGTCAGGGTTACCTTAAAGCCTCAAGTTGCCAGGATGGTTTAGAAATATTCAGATTCACACTGAATTGCACCCCTGTTGTTTAGAAGTGTTTGAAACCTAGTTGAACACATATACAGTAGAGTATTTCACATGCAACTCCATAGCAAATGTTTGTCATCTACCGTTCATTTTGAACCAAGACAAACGTTATTTAACGACATGTATATGCATCCCTAAGCGTCGTAAATGCGCTAAATGGGTTAACGTCATTCTCAAGTTTGTACCTAATGTGCCTGTATTGATCGCATTACAACGGCAAGTGAGATAACGAAAGAGCAACAACTTCAACCAAGAAATGTCACAAGATCCAGTGCAACTCTAAATTAAGTCCTAATGGCTCAAATAGAGTTCACATCTATTCAGCATCTGATAATGTAGTAATGGTATAGCTAACCTGTATCAAGTGAAAAGCAAAATTTGCATATTTTGGTGCCCTCAGTCTTGATAGTTAATTTAGCTACTAAATTTAGTTAAAATGTTATTTGCAAGTCTTAGCGATCAGTATGGAGGTTACACGATAATTGGTACGAATGTAGCCACTGGAAGTTCGAGATAAAGCTAAACAGTAAAATAAGCTATTGTAACTTGGTGTTCGGGGAATACCGACTGGACTAGTTTTGGTAAGCTTTTGTGCATTGTAGTAAGTCGAAAATAAATTTCTCTAGGTATCTCTCATCAGTGTGATACGTGCGATTAGTATGCTAACAACTACACGAAGCATTTTGTACTGTCAAAAGTAAAATGAAATATATTTCATATTTAATTGGGTGGCAAATGTTCCACACTATCTGTCTCTTAAACGCTACTTACGTCTGTACAGATTTAGCCTTTAGACACTTCATAGCTTGAATCAACACCACCTTGTTGTACTTGAAAGAATGCAAAAGAAAATTTGGTTAACAAATTAGGAATTTCCTTTTTCATAGTCAAAGAATTACAGAATTGTCGCCAGACATTTTAATAGATTTATACCCAATCATCCGCAAAAATGCATGCAAAATTATACATGCATTGTGAACAATGATTTATCGCGTGTTAGGAACCAAAAGTTTACTAGACCCATAGTGAATTCTACAGAAAATATGACGTATGAGTCATCTACCGAGCGTATAGCGAGTAGAAATAGTTGATGGATAACGTTAGTTGGAAATAAAAATTAATAAAATGCATGAGATTCACAAGGTGTTTCAGAAGCCATGTCCGAAGTTTTTAGCTGCAAATCTCTTATGCAGACGTAATCAAGCATACTGTAATACCAACAGTCAAATGGCGAATCTTGGTCTCCCAAATGTTCCGGCAAACGCGCATGGCAAGGGTGGGTTTTGGACAACGAGGCGGGCCTTGGTGTCTATGATCGCGGTGCAGACAAAAAGAACTTAGGCCCTTTGGCCGTGAGAAGTGAATTTTGGCCAACCATTCAGGACGCAATCTACGTTTCGTGCTCCGATCCATTGGTAGACGGCTTTTACGCAGGTGGAAATACAACAACTGAATTGCTGCGCAGTGCTTACTGGCTCGCCCATTTTAGCTATGAAGCAGGAGATGGCACCGGTGTCGTCCGTATACATCCAACCAGAGTTGCGTAATGTACTGGATGATAAGCGCTTGGTAATTGTGTGGCTTTATGTGGAGTGCAGGTCCAACACGGCGGAAACCGCAGGAAACTAAAACAAGTTGCCCTGCGTTACGCGGCGCATTACCGAACGGTATGTGCGTTGGGTGGTTAACATCCTCAGAAACCTGATAGTGCTTGCTACATCAATCAAACCAGACAGACTGGGACCGTCAAGGATGAGTTATTAGAATGCGCCTTTGTGCAAGTGACACGTAGTATGAGTCATTTCAGCATGCCACAAATGGCGCAAAATTGCATTATCACACCATATACTCCGCATGGAATATTGAATTAAAAATATCTTGGCTGTACAGTTCAGTGCATGTGCAAGCTTTAAATATATGCGATTTACAGAAAAGCCTGGAATATAAGATGCATTTAAACAACCTGAAAAAATACGTTTACTTGTGTTCACTGATGAGGCGGTTTACCATCTGCATAACGAAGGGGGGCAAAATATTTGGGCAACAACTAACCCACGGCTATGTATTGCCTCGGCTGTGCAACAAAGCGAGAATTTCGTCTGAGGTAGGATGACTGATCAAAAATACATTGGCAGTTCGTTTCTTAGAATGTGTGCAATAGCTTTTTGGTTAACAGTACTATGGTCTGACATTTATTACTGACTAGGTAGATGGGAATATTGCAGAGGATAGTCATTCAGTAGATGCAGTTCAGTGGGTTGCTGAATACCGTTTGGTGGCAGCAGGATTGCGTACATGCACTTCCGACACAAACGGTCTGTGATTACCTGACTTTTATTGGTGTTCCATCGGTCGCGAAAGACCGATAGAGTGGCCTGCGCAGCCACCGGATCTGGATCTCCTGGATTCTTTCCTAAGGGGATATTTTCAGCGTGGATACTATAGAACCGATCTAAACAGCCTGGAGGCATTGAAACGCAAGATTATTAAAGAATGCCGACGGATCTCTTTGAAGACAATGCGGAAAGTGCTTACAAGCACCTTCAGGCGAATGCTGCTCCGCAATCAAAATGAAGAAGGGCACTTCGAATACCTGATTCACTGATATCTACAGACACTTCGCATATTTCATTTGGATAAAGTAACTAAATAAAGAAATGTATATTTTGATTGCACAGGAAGAACAATATCGAAAGCAAGCTCAATTGTTATAACAAGTATGTGCTTGCTTTCAAGGTCAATAATTACATTCGTGCCTCAACGGGTGTGCTGTATAATGGGGATACTAATGCGTCGGGGCACTATCTAATCAAAGAGCAAGGTCCATATCGAACGTGACTATAAAATGTTTGGAACAGAAATCAAAGTCAAGTGAAGTATTTTGACCTTTCGCTGCGGAAGCTGTACATAATCATATAAGGAAATAAAAGCCTTTTCTTTGGTATTATAAAATGGACTTTACCTTCAATTATATTACATGGTCAAAAATATATAAATATATATAGCTTTCTGTCAACATTGTGTTATTTGGGTTGCTGGTGATGGTGTAACTGCATATGCAGATAACCTCAGATGCAATTGTGTCCAGTACATATGACGCTGCATATTTGTGTTTCATCTCTGGATTCAAATTATTTACAATTTCATAATACATTTCATCATATATCTATTTAAAAAGCATAAAGCTGATTTGCATTTATCGAAGTTACTGTACTTATTGTTCAAATAACGCTGTTGGACTTTTCCTCACACTATTGAGGAACGCAGCATTTATTCATTGCTTTCATTATTGCGACATCAGTTTTGCATCAACTACCCGACGAACGTAGATGCACCACGATTTCTAGCCGTAACTGTCACTACCCACTGAGTTCGCAGTCCTTATCGAACGTCGTCTTACCTCCTGTGACTTAT